AGGCTCACAATCAAAATACATAAATATATAAATACTGAAAATGGATGGAAAGCTGGAGATTTTTGCTGTAATCTAGGTATGTAGTTTAATTATTTCCTGAAACTAATTACACTGATACGTTAAAGTGGTCTATTCTGAAATGAATTATTTAATATTAGGTAGTTTTTACTGTTTAGAAGGCAGTTTATGAAGTATCGATCACAAAATGAGGAAAGAAAGATTCTTTTGTGTTTCCTTCAGTGAGACACAGGCATCTGAAAAACGAAATAATACTCTAAGTAGATTTCATTTGCATATATTGAGTAAAACAAGAGACAGAAAGGGTACATACCATATAACTAATACAGCAACATCAAAAGGCATTATGATCTTGAAACCAGAGGAATGGCTTCCTATGGAAGTGGGGGGTCACCACAGTAGGGTATGAGGGGACTGCCTGAGCACTGAACATGTATGTATTATACCTTTTGTGTATAGGTGTGCATGTGAGCACCCTGAGCACACGTGGAGGTCAGAGGACAATTCTGGGTTTGTCTTTACCTGCTCCATGTCTCAGGCTAGCTGGTCCATGAGCTGGGACACAATGCAGTATGGCATCTGGATTTTTCATGTGTTCAAGGGATTTAATCTTAGGGCCTTCTACTGTGCAGCAAGCACTTTAACCACTAAGCCATTTTGCCCACCATCCTCTTGATTTTTCAGACACACTCCAGGTTGGCCTCAAACCTGGTGAAGTTGAGGACCTTGAACTACTGATCTTCCTGAGTACAAATTTTAAAAGATCATAAAATGTTCTATGTATCGACCAAGTTTTTAGGTTATAATTAAGGCCATCTTTGCCAAAATTTACTCAATTGCAGATCTGTATAACTCACTGGACATAAATTTTATCTGATTAAAAACATACATCACTTTCTAAATTTTCATATTAAGGGTGACTTCTTTTAGGACTGGGGATAGAGCTTAGCATAGAAGGCCTTAAGTTCATTCCACAGTATATATCCCTCAAACAGCAGCATCAACAACAACAATAACAACAACAACAACAACAACACACACAAATCAACAACTCCAAACTAAGTTGTATTTCTTCTTATGTAGTATGTAAAACTGAAATTATTTCTCAATTAGTATTCTCTGTCTTCAGTGTTATGCATATGGGCTGGGGGTGCAGCTCAGAGGCAGAGCACTTGCCTCATATCATCATGCCTAGTACCAGGTGGCCCTGGTCAACACCTCAGCATCACCATGAAAGGAGAAGAAAAGAAGAGGCAAGAGTTTGGTGTGCTGGATTCTTATTTTAAGAACTCAGTGACTTGGGAAGAGCCTCAGTTTCCTCATCTATAAACAAATAGAAAATAGTAGACACTTCACAAAGTTGTCAAAAGAAAAAATAAGTTACCAGAACACAACAATAAATACTATATAAGTACTAGCTTCTAATTTTTACCAAAATTAAGAATTTACACACAAACACCCCAAGTATTCATACACATAACAAAATAAATCTAACAAAAACAACAAAACAAACTAAGGTGGGTGTGGTGCTACATACCTGTAGTCCTAGTATTTGGGGAAGTAAATAGGAAAAACATTCATGAGTTCCAGACCAGAGAGGGCTACAAAGAAGATTCTTATCAAAGCAAACACCATTATTTCCCATTCCACTTGCCTTTCTAACCCTTAAGAATCTTGTGACTTGCTAAAATTTGATAAAGTAGGTCTATGGGGTCTTGGCATATACATTTTCTTTGACAAAAGTTCACCAAATGGTTTTAACACATTTGAAATGTTTTTGATTAGTCCTTTCCTGTGCACAACATTTTAATCTTTTTTCACTTTTTTTTTTTTTTTTTTTGAGACAGGTTCTCACTGTGTAGACCAAGATGGCCTTGAACTCATAGAGAACCACCTGTTTCTGCCTTCTGAGTGCTGGGATTAAAGGCACACTATACCTGGCTAACATTTAAATCTTTTAAACAACATTAAGATACCAATAGCAGCAGCAAAAACAACAACAAACCAACTCATGTAATCCCACCAACACAATGTCTTTAACTTTTCAGATATTTATTTTGAGACATGGTTTCACTATGTAGCTGTAGAAGTCCTGGAACTCATTATGTAGACCAGGGTGGCCTTGAACTCACAGAAATCCACCTGCTTCTGCTTCCTGAATGCTGGGATTAAAGGCATGCTTGGCCTTTTCGGACTCTTAAAAATACATTTATTTATTTATATAAATTTTATGTGTTTGAATGTTTTGTCTGTATGTATGCCTGTGTATCACATGTGTGTTTGGTGCCCTTGAGTCCAGACATTCTGGGACTTAAGTTTCAAATGGTGTGAGCCGCCATGTGGGTGCTGAAAATTAAACGTGGGTTCTCTGGAAGAGCATCTAGTGCTTTTAACCATTGAGCCATCTCTGTAGCACATTTCAGATATTAAAGACATTTATCTTTCACAGTTTACTTTTTAAGAATGCTCTTTAAGGGAGAACTTACTTAAATTACTTGAAAGATGGGCTTCAATTGATTTAGAAATTTTTAAGGGGAGACAATTTGGGAATGTGAATTTATAACTCAACAGTATTTTTCTGAGGAGTGGGATTATTAGTAACTAAAGTATGTTCTTCTACATTCTATGTTCTTTGTCTCATGTGTAGGACTCACTTAACAGGAAAAGGATTGACATGCTCTGCTAAAGTTGTAAGTTATAGGTACTACTGTTAATGATGTCAAATGTGAGGTCTTTTAGGGTATTGTCACAGCTGACAAAAATTTATTCTTTAATGACCAGTCATATGCAAGTTTTTATGTAGCTCTGGCTGTGCTGGAGCTTGTTACGTAGACCAGGCTATTGTCTAACTCAGAGATCCTCCTCCCTCTGCCTCTTAAGTGCTAGGATTAAAGGTATGTGCCAGAAGGGGGAAAAAAAAGGTGTGTGTGTGGGTAAGTGTACATGATTCATGCTTTAGATACTGTTTCCCTGTAAGATCTGCATGCTTAACAGCATGGCAAATGGTCCCTTTAAACTGTATGATACACATTATTTTATGTATGCATGTATGTACACACGCATGCATATGCTTGTATGTTCCTATGCTACTGACCTTTGCTCCTAACACAATACTTTGACCAGGGTAGTTTTTACTGTATACAAGGCACCAAGCATAAGAGCTCATATTACTGTTGGGGGGGGGGGGGAAGCAAACTTTCTGACTCCCACATATAAACTGTGAATAAGAGGAGAGAATATACAAAATATGAATTTTCACTCTCAAAAAATATTCAAAGTATCCCGTATCATCATCCCCACCACCCCCTTTCTCTACTCAGGATTTCTCTGTGTAGCCCTGCTGTCCTGGAGATCGTAGACCAGGTTGGCCTTCACAAAGATCCACCTGCCTCTGCCTCCTGAGTGCTGGGATTAAAGGCGTGCACCCCCAGGCTTCTATTTTTCTCTTAAGTAAATTTTCATGCTATATGTGATGGACATTGTGACTGAATATAGATATGTTTCCAATTGTTTTAATCATTTTTTTCAGAACATTCAGATCTGTGACAAAGGCAAAAGTAAAAAAAGTTATGTACATAATGTAAAGAACAAAGCAATTCAGACATGAAGTGACATTTATCTTCCTATGATTGTGAGGTTCAAGGCCTAGGAAATGCAGCTTACCACATAAAGTATTTCACCACAAGAAATCAATCATTTCAAAGCTGGTAAACTTAAGTAACAATTCTATCCTTTCTTCTTCTTTTAAACAGAAGCTACAGGTAGGTCAGTAGGGTAAAAATGTCTTTAGTATCATCTGGACTACTATTATGCTTACCTTACAGCTTTGAAAAACTGATTTCTTGTGTGTCAGTGGTGCGCTGCATTTCCTGAGTGTCAGCCGACTTCCCAGCAGGAATTCCAGTCTGATGAAGAATCAGCCAAAGGAAGTCCTCACTGAGAGACACACTGGTATCATTCACTGAGTGGAAACAGTGAAAGAGTAACATATTTCTAAAGGGAATTTACATTATTAATACCTGTGCTGTCATAGCAACTTACAGAAATACATTTATCTTCCCTTCCATGGTGGAAACAAGTAATTGTTCTCAAAAACCTGACATTTTCTACAAAGCATTTGGTTTTACCCCAACTCCAGGATGCTATTTATAAACGCACCATTGCCTTCCTAAACACAAAACAGTTTTTCTGTCTCTGCCTCCCGAGTACTAGGATTAAATGCATGTGTTCCCCTCCCCCCAGTTTCAAGTCTTAATCTGAGCAATTGTGATGAAACCCGTTCTAACAGCACCTCTAGAATCAAAAGAAAGAAACCTTCACAATCTTTTGCATGATATTTATCAACTTCTCACAGTGACTAACATCCAGAAATTTTGTTCAACCTACATTGAAGTAATTCTATTAAAAATTTCATATAAACATTTAACATTTTAAATAGAAACAAAAGATCAACAGAAAATAGTTCTAGAAACTACAACTTAGAATTTCTAGTTAAAAATTTCTGAAATATGAGGCTAGAGATGGTCACTGGTTAAAGCACTGGTTGCATTTTTAGAGACCCGAGTTCAGTCCCCAGCACCATCGTGGCAATTTACAACTATCTCTAACTTCAATTCCAGGGGATACAATGCCTTCTTTTGGCCTCCAAGGGCAACAGGCACATAAACAGTACACAGATATACATGAAGGCAAAATACCCATACCTATAAAAAGAATCCTGAAAGATATACTTCTTACTGGTTATTCTGAATTATAGTTTATTGCATTTATTGTTTTAGACCGGATGTCAACATAATACTAGTAGCTCCATGGACTCATCTAAACTTAGTTAAGATTAAAACTTCAATCCCTCAAGCACATTAACAATACTATCAGTGTATAATCAATCATGACACACAATTGGGGGGGGAATTTTAATGCACAGCATTATTCCAGACAGAGCATCTAAACAGAGAGGTGGTTGTTATAGTCAAAGACCTTACCTGGTCTGAGGAGGTGTGGATGTGTAACTGGGCTGGGTTGACCTAAATACCGGTTTGGAATCTTCTTCGGCACAGGCTGGAGGGAGTACCTTCGATGTAAACATGACATGCATCCTGAAGGAAAAAAAAAAAACCAAAGGATGCAATGGGACATCTTCACAGCATGCATACTACCTATTCCCAGAGTTTGGATCATTACAAAATACATATTAGCATTTCTTTCCTCCTCCTTTCAATGTGTTTGTGGCCCTTTCTCTATGCTAGAGGCTGTATTGGGCTCTAAGAAACACAGATAAGATCTTTATTCCCAGAGACTTTAAACTACCTTAGAAGGTGCCTTCTATGAATAAGGGGCTATGAGGGGGAGGAGGAATGAGTAAAAACAACAAGAGTCAGAAAGGAATTCAGAGATAGCCAGAGGCTATGTTCTAAAATTTGGAAAAACAGAATTAACATTTTTACTGAGATAATGTTAGCTATAAGAAAACAAATATTCTTTCTCTATTTCACTTAATCTTGGAATGTTAGTCTGATAAAAATGTGTGAAAAAATGCTTAGTCATAACACATATAATTCAAGCATGGTTAGCATTAATTTAACCATTTTATTTAGGACACTACTGGAACACATGCTAAGCAAGACAAAGAGTAAGACTGTTTTCCTTAGGAGTCAAAAAGAAGTATAGTGGAGATGAGGCAATACACATTACAACACTACATAATAAAGAGTTAGATTAATAACACAGCAACCATTATATCTTACAATGGGTACAATCACATGGAGTTGTTCATAAAAAAATATTTGTGTGAGACTGCAGAAGGTGATGACTGCTCTCAATAGAAATCACTCAAGTTACTTCCCCTTGAGGGGGTAAGTGAAAAGTGGTTCATGAACATCATTACAGCAAGCCACCATTGCCAGGCCTAAATACAACCTTTAAAACCTCCAGAGAAATAACCTTCCCCAGAGCACAGCAGTGTCTGCTCTTTAGAGTTTCTGGAAGGGAAAGGACACACGAGAGAGAATGACTTATGATAGTACGAGCATGCTAATGAAGTGAAAGGAATACAGGGGTATGAAGAAAAGAAATAAAATCACAAGTCTGAGGCTGAGCCTGGTGGTGGCAGTGCAGGCCAGAATTTAGGAGGCAAAGGCAGGTAGACCTCTGAGTTCAAGACCAGCCTAGGTCACATAGAGAAACCCTGTCTTGAAAAAACAAACAAACAAAACCAAGCAAACAAAAAATAAGTCTGAATTGGGCTGTAACTCAAAGATACAGCACTTAACTTTCACATGTTAGGCTCTGGATCAATCCCCAGCACCGTTAAACAGACAAAACTCGAAGGCCATCTCCTCCCAAGTTTTTCTTCCTTTCTTTTGTTTTTCAGTGACATTTTCATTTATTTTACTTTTAGTAATACATTTTTTTATTTCCATATACTATTGGACATATCTTCAGCTTTTAAAATTAAGTCATGAAGAAAGGAACAGTGGTTTATTTCTGTAATCAAGGTGAGCACACTGCTGAATCTTAAGGCCTCGCTTGACAACGTTGCATCCATCACACCATTTTCACTCAACAGTAAGGCCATCTGTGTTCTTTCTGGTGAAGAGTGATTTTTGTTTCTTCAGTAGTTTACATTGGTCAGGCAGTCACGACAGAAGGCCACCCAATGAACTCTCATTTCCAGTGCAACAGCTGCTGGCAATCTTTCACTAAGTCTGGGTCTCAGGGCTTCTCTTCCCAGGCTGGCCCAGGAGTCCTGCTTTGGCTGCTAGGGCTTCATTCTGCTCAATATGATAGTCCTGCAATCTCCTGGACATTCTCTGTGTCATTTTAAATACTTCTGTAAGTGATAATCTGAACAGGTAACCTCTTCAGGTTTTACCTCTCTTGTTAACTCTAACACAGTCCAAAAAGCAGGTTTCTTGTAGGTACCCAGGAACTCCTCAAACTGTTCTATCTGGTCAGATTCTGGTATCTATGAAGCCATATTCCTTCAGTATGTTTATTAATCACTTAGTCACAGGCTCTCGCATCCAACACCAGTGCTGGGCTGAGGAGCTGTGTTTCTAATAATCAGTGTGAAAAAGTCTTCTGCTCTGTCCATCCCATTCTTGTCATTTGCTTTTCAGGACATAAAGGTAATAATTTAAGACATTACAATTTCTCAAGTTGTTTTATGCATTTTTGTTGTCACTTTGAGACAGAGTCTCTTTACATAGCCCTGGCTATGTTGGAACTCATTATGAGATCAGACTGTCCTCAAACTCATCGGAATCCACCTGCCTGTCTCCTGAGTGTTGAGATTAAAGGCATGCACCCCCTGAGTGGGCCCAGTATTTTATGCAATTTGTATAACTACCTTACCCTTTTTGTATCCCATTACAATAGAAAATTAGTTTTATTCAGCAGAAGCTAAAACTGCCTGGTATAAAGTATATATTATATACTGAATACATAAATACACAGCTTCTAAGAACTCTATTCATGCTTTTCTTTTTCCTTCTGGGAAACAGAGCCATAGTACATAGCATGGGCTCTGTGGCTTTTACCTGTGTTTTTATAATAAACATTAAGTAGGCACAGACCCTATCATCTCAAATGACTCACTGCTGGCAGAAAGCCTGAATAGCAGGCTGCTGACTCTAGCAAGTCTGTAATACCATAGCCCAGGGTGCCTCTCACACAACTAGTTTATCTACTTGGTATATCTTCCATCATAGTTTTTATTACAATTAAATTATTTATATCTTCTATTGAACGTATGTCTTTTTACTACAATAAGCTCAACTGCTTGAATACACTTTCCCCACAAAGTTTTCTAAGTCTTTATTTTTCTAAATCAAAACATAGAAGCTGGAGTGTAGTGTCACTCATCTTTAATCCCAGTACTTGGGAGACAGAGGCAGAAGGTTATCTGAGTTCAAGGCCAGCCTGGTCAACAGAGAAAGTGAGTTCCAGGATAGCCAGGGCTACACAGAGAAACCCTGTCTCAAAACAAACAAAAGAACAAATAAAAACCAACAAAAAGCAAACCATACCAATCAACCAACCAACCAACCAACAAAAACCAGATGAACTGTGCAATAATTAAGGCTCAGTAATCTGGAAGTCAGAATATATGAGGGATGCTGTGGCCAATAGCACAGATCACACTGAGGCACTATCCAGAGCTTCCAGGAAGATATGGCAGAGGTGGTCAGCACAAAGTGACTCTGGGAAAATTGCATTTGGAAGATTCAATCCCCTATCTCTACCTCAGTATGACACCATAATGCATCTCTGACATACGCTTGTTCCTCTGCTTGCCACATAATCAGAACCCTCAAATCTTTCAGCAGTGGCCCACAGTACTAACACTACCTTCAATGTAAAAATGTGCCTATTTGCAGTCACTTCTACCACCAGCAGCAGCAGCAGCAGCAGCAGCAACAGAGCCTGAGCTGCAAGGAAAACACAGTGCTCACTATCAAGGGTGTTTGTTTCTAATACTCTGTCAAACTATGGTGGACTACTATGAAGTTCTAGGAGTGCAGAGATATGCGTCACCAGAGGACATTAAAAGAGCTTACCGTAAAGTGGCACTTAAATGGCATCCTGATAAAAATCCAGAAAACAAAGAGGAAGCAGAGCGAAGATTCAAAGAAGTCGCTGAGGCATATGAAGTACTATCAAACTGTGAAAAACGGAACATTTATGACAAATACGGCAAGGAAGGATTAAATGGTGGCAGTGGAAGTCATCTTGACGATGAATATGAGTATGGTTTCACATTCCGTAAGGCAGATGATGTCTTTAAGGAAATTTTTGGTGAAAGGGACCCGTTTTCATTTCACTTCTTTGAGGACTCACTTGAGGACCTTCTGAGCAGCTCCAGGAGCTCTAATGGAAGCAGAAGCAGAGGCTCAGGATCCCTTTTCTCCCGTGCCTGTGACCACACAGTGTATGCCAGGCTGTCTTCTTATGACACAGGATATACATCTTATGTTTCACTGGGGCATGAAGGCCTTCCTTCATTCTCTTCCCTGGCATTTGATGATACTGGGATGGGCAATTACATACCCATTACACCTTCAGGTAAAATTGTTAATAGAAGAAACATCAACACAAAGAAAACTTTTGAGAACCGTCAAGAAAGAGAAGCCGAAGATGACGGTGAGTTGAAATCCTTTCTTGTAAATAGTGTGGCAGATGAAGAGGGCTTTGCAGAAAGACGTAACTGGAGAAGACAGGCATTCAACAATTACTCACCAAATTCCTACAGCCCCCCAGATATATCTCAATATACTCTTGTGGACAACAATGAACAAGGTACACCTTGGGTCACCAGCAAGAAGGATGCTTCCATTTTCTCAGCAGGGTTCAAAGAAGGTGGCAGGAGAAAAAAGAAGAAGCATAAGGAGGGGCAGAAGAAGAAGTCAAACAAAAGGAATCGCTAATTGACTCTTTACACACATTATGATCATATAACATTTGAACACCACTCTTGTGTGTTTTGGTTAATCACAGCTTTTTATAGATATTTGTTAATATTATGTAAGCATAGATAGTTTTTTTCCTCCCCCCTCGGGTGTATGTGTGTTCATTTTGTTTTTGAGACAAGGTCTCAACTATGTAGTCCAGGCTGGCCTGGAGCTTGCTATGGAAACAAGGATGGCCTCAAACTCACAGGTCTGCCTATCTCTGCCTCTCAATTGCTGAGATCGAAGGTTCGCACTACATAACCAGCTTATTTAAAAAAAAAAAACAAAAAGAAAAACAGGATTGTGGACATTTGGTCAGTGTGAAAGCTTATGTTAGAAAAAGATGAATTTGTGGTAACAATGATTTTAAACTATGGAAAACTACAGTTTTTTTCATTTTACTTTTGGGCTGTTTAAGCATAGAATTTTTTTTCAGTGGACTTTATAACCTATTTAATTTCTTTAATTAATACCATCACAAATTCTCAGTAAATGTACATAGCATTAGGTGATAAAAACCTACTAAGAAACACAGGTTCAGATTATAACATGTATTTTGAGTTTGAAAGAATGTGAAATTTGCACAAAGATGTTCACAGCAGTTCTATTCATAGTATCTAAGAGGTAGGAGTAGCCAAATGCTCATC